CTGCCTCTCCCTCTCTCTCCTCCTCCCTCTCTCTCGCTCTCACAGCGCCGCCGCCTCTCTCTGTTCCGCAGACCCGTACCAGCTCCTGAACGCCGCCTCCTCCCGGTTGGTGGCCCAAGGCTCGGGGCAGATCCAGCTGTGGCAGTTCCTCCTCGAGCTGCTCGCTGATTCGTCCAACGCGCCGCTCATCTGCTGGGAAGGGACCAATGGCGAGTTCAAGCTCGGCGACCCGGACGAGGTGGCGCGCCGGTGGGGCGAGCGGAAGAGCAAGCCCAACATGAACTACGACAAGCTCAGCAGGGCGCTCAGGTGAGTTTGGCAGACGCACAGGTGAAGGGGTTGAGCCATCCAAATTAGGGCGCAGGATAATGCATCATCACTGTTGCCAACTGGGTAGGAAAAGTTCCCACAAATACACTTGTGTGAAGCGGGCAGCTTTTGTGCCTTCTTGAGCGTCTCGGGTTCCTAAATGTTGTTTTCACTGTAAATCAGGGGAGGCCAGTAGATTGGAGTCTTCAGTTTGCCCGGCCAAAGAATCGGGGTGACTTACTCGACAGCTTTTCGTTTTCCATGCCACACTGCATCGATCTTATCTCACTCCTGGAGTGGCAAACGCACGGCCTTAAATGGTGCAGTATTCGGAATCCATAAGTAGTCGACTTATTGAGTCTTTGGTCGGGCGAGGAACTTTAACTGGCCTAGCTGCTTGGCACTCGTGATTAACAGTGCAGAGAAGGCAGGCTCCACTCAAATGTTTTTGGAGGACATTATTTTTATCCACCCAGGTAGTAACACTCATGTGCACTCTCAGCTCGGTCTGGCGTATTCCTGGTTTGTCACTCTTCCTGCTGTTTAAAATTTTTCACACCGACTGGCTTAGCGAAAGGTTTTTGGGATATTTCTTAAGATTGAATTTGGTTGAGGCTTTATAGCATGTTCGAGGGCCACCATGCATGACAGACAGGACTCAAATACAGGACGAGTTAACAGCAGGTCCTGCCTTAGGGTATCAGCCTCAGGCCCGCTCAGGGCTTATTCAGGACGAACGGCCGGATTGGAAGGAGCCTTCCGAGAAAGCAGGGCCGTGTGTGTTGCGTCGGCTGAGGATCGGTGCGGTAAAAGGTGGACCAAGACTGGACAAGAAGCCCGCGCCAATAAAACTCGTGAAGGAATCAGGTGTGCAATAGTATGGTGAAGGCGGGATTTTATTATATGCCGGTTGCGAGAATGGAACGCAATGCACAGATCTGTCCTCATAATTACTCACGATTGAAATGCCCCTTACGAATATACTTGACGGGAATCGATGCTGCGTGGTTGGGGCAGCATGTGAAAAGAGAGTGAAATGGGCAGTTAAAATGATCGGGACCTTACTCAGGTATTCATATCAGATTAGAGATTAAAAATATGCTTCGCACAATCTCTTTGTCTACGTTTCAAGCGCAAAACTCAACTAACTTTATACAGTGTATTTACAGATGTCTTTGGACGTTTAATATGGCACATTTTTTGTACGTTGTTTTGGTGTTCTGCTTTTTATTTATTTATTTTATTGTAATTTAATCAAATTTTGTCTTTTGCCCTCCAGGTACTACTATGATAAAAACATCATGACCAAGGTGCATGGCAAGCGTTACGCCTACAAGTTCGACTTCCACGGGCTGATGCTGGCGTGCCAGGCGCAGGCGCAGGGGGGCGCGGGGGCGGGGGCCGGCGGCCTGGGAGGCCCCGCCCTCGGCTCGAGCCCGCTCAGCGCGTCCACCCTCGGCGCCAGCCCCCTGGGCGGCAGCCCCCTGGCCTCGTACCCGTCCAAGTACCAGCACCACCCGGGCGACCTCGTCGGGTATCCGCACAAGCTGCAGGCCGCGCGGTGAGTGCACCTGCTCTGGGCTCGGTCCGGCTCGGCCCCTGCGGCGCGGGCGGGTAGGCCACCCGGTGCGCTCGGCTGTGCGCGCGTGGCCGCCCCTCGGCCGCGCAGGCGCTAGACGCGCTAGGTGCGCTAGGCCGCAGGACTGCGCCCCTAATAAAAGCTTTCTCTGTTGCAGGATGGGGCAGCCCTCGGGTCACTGCGGCCACCCACCGTTCCACCCCCACCACCCGCACCCGCACCACCCCGCCCACCACCAGGCCATGGCGGCGGCCGCGGCGGCCGCTGCTGGCGGCATCCTGTTCCCGGGGCCTCCGCCGCCCCCGCCCTACTGGGGCCACTACTCCATGCAGAGGTACGCGGCCCCCACGTCACCCTCCCCGCCCCCGCCCGCACCGCAGCCCCCTGCTCCGCCATCCTAATTCTCTTGTTTAGATGTTTGTTAGTGTAAGCTACCCCGAAGATCTCGTCGTCTTGCTGAATAGGTAGGAGGGCATTCTGCTATTGTGAGCATATTGCTGGTTTATATTTTATTTATTTGTTCTCAAATTGGAGTTTTGTGTTGCGTAGGATGCGGAATGTTATCCTGACATCCTACTTGACTACAGAAGCATTTAATATGCATCCTTCGAATGTACAAATTAATTTTTATGATTTCAAGGCATTTTGTGAATTGGTGGTGATTTTAAAGGCGATTTTAGAAACGTTGCAAGTCAGACTTTTAGAGTTTTTACTTCACTGACATATATTCCTATTGTTCCCTTAGCACATTTTTAAAATGGTGTAGGTAGGGCAGCACTGAAAACAATTTTTAGTATAACTTAAGCCAACGTGCATACGTATGCATGCGCAGGTGCAAGCGAGACGTGAGAATCTATACTCCAGGTCCTAACTAGTAAGTCACAGAAATGTATCAACCAGTAGCTGTTTCTCAGGATGACTACATTCCATTCCTGTAAAGCCTTTTCTTTAGTAAACTTTGTTTTGTGATTATAGAACTTTTTATTATTGTTAGAAACATTGTGATGCCGATATATATTAAGAGAAAATAGTTTTTAATTTCGACCGTACTAAAATTGTTTGGGCAATGGTGTTGTGTTCAATGAAAACAGTCGAATTGTTGATTGTGAAACAGATGTTACTTTTCTTAAGTAGAATGAATCAGAACTAAGTGCGTACAACGTTTTTATCTTTTTCCTGTACTCACTAAAATTGTACTTTTCTTTTTAAGTGATGTTTTGTAAAACTTCGTTAATAACTATTGTTACAAAAATATAACACTTTCGTTTTGTTTTCCTTATCACTGTCCTAACAAACATTGGTGAAAAAGCGAAATCTGCACCCAGAAGAAGGGTTCCTGTTTCAAACAGGGATCCGATACTTAACACGTACCTTCACGTTCTTTGACGACCTACAACACTAACTTTAATGTTCTTACTTCAAAATAGTAACGTTATGTAACTATCGCATATATGTGTCATTATTAATTGTCAGTCGAGCGGTCGAGCAAACTGAAGAAACAAAGGTGCTAAGTTTTACCTTTAAAGCTTTAAAACGGATAGGGTTGAGTGTCCTTCCAGCACAACGAATCTAAAACTGCCAAAGAAACTAGTTAGCTCATTGAGGGCTCTTTGGTGCCCGTTTAGAGGCACTAAACTGAAATTTTCTTTGGTGCCCTAAAGCACAACTCAGCACCTTTGTATATCTGGTGCAGGACAAGTGCATGATAAGTGCACAACTTTTTAGAAATAATGGAAACTTGAAGTTTTCTTTCCTTTTCGTTCTTTGCCATTTACCCCTAAATGTAAGGCGATATAAATGTGAACCCTTTCGAAAACGTCGTAAAATGATATGCCAGAATTTAATTCCCGTGATAATATTTCCTCAATATACACGAAACTTTCTGCAAAGGAACGAAACGTAATGTGTTGCGTTTCTGTTGGGGTGTTCGATTTGCATTGTTGTTTAATGTTTTGTTTAAATGCCGAATCGTCCGAAGGAATTGGAATTCAAAGACCTAATTCCACCTTCTATCGCCTCGCACTCATGAGTAAATGACAAAGAACGAAAAGGAACGAAAATTCCCAAGTTCCAAATCTAAAACCTTTCGTTTCCATTCCGTCTTTTCGGCTCGCACTTTTGCAGCAAGCCGTGAGCTACGCGCTGAATGCTGTCTCAGTTCGCCACCGAGGCTCGGGGGGCGGCGGCACAGTGACACACGTGCTTGCACACGTGTTTCTGGAACCGCAGACGACATCCGGCCGCGGCGCAGTTTAGACTAACGCCCGCGGGGCGCCTGCCCTCAGCCCCCTACCCGCTACCCGCAGCGAGAAACCACGAGACCGCCGGTGGGGCGCGCGACGGGCGCCGCCAGCCTGCAAAAGAGACAAGGCAAGCGCACAAAAAAGAGAACGAGACATAATAAAAGAAGCCGCATAAAATACAGGCAGCCCGTACAGCACCGAGACACTCAGCGATTAATTGATGACATATGTGCAATTGTGTGTGTGTGTGCGGAGGGGCATTGAGACAGCGAGAGAGACACAAACAGAGAAAGAGACAGAGACAGACAGAGAGACTGGAGGGGGGGGGCGTAGAGACCCTAATAACCAGGTAGGTTACCGCCGCCACACACGCGGTCGCCTCTCGATCACTCCACTTCGCGGGAAGCAGTTGTCGCCGTCGCATCGGGGCGCCGTCCGGTTCATAACATTTACGTCCTTCCAGATTCTGATAACCTACCGGGACACGGGCGGGCGGGCTGGCTCCCATGGTGTCTTTATAGCTCGTGTCCACCGCGGCGAACGTGGGACAAACTTTTACCGCTTCTCCAGAACTGAGCCCGCGCCGGCGATGGCGGGGACATGTACAGGTGTCACAGGACAGGAGCCCAGCCCCCCCCCCTCTCTCTCTCTTTCTCTCTCTCTCCCTCTCCCTCTCTCCCTCTCCTCTCCCTCTCTCCCTCTCCCTCTCCCTCTCTTGGACAGTCTCACCCGGCCAATCGACCCAGGCGGCTCGCGTCTCACACCGTTTCAAAAGCGTGTCGAGTTCGCAGAACCGCGACGCGCCGCCTGTGGCGCCACGGGGCCGGCGGTCCAGGCAGTCCGTCTCGGAGACGCGGTGCGGCCGCCCAGATACAATCACTTATTTATAAAAAGAAAAGGAAAAAGAAACATCATACCAATACTTGACGAGTAGCTTTCCACATTTAGTGCCATTATTCAGGGTGGCTCACGCCCAAAGGACACGTACCTATTCGTCACAATGACGTCACTTGACGTCACCGGTCAAAATTGAGTCATTTTGACTGTCAGGAAGTATATTATCAGGAGGACGGCAATTGACGTTGCGGTGATAGTACTTCAATGCTTACAGTCAGGATGACTGAAGTTTGACCAGTGACGTCAAATTGATGTCATCGTGACAAATGTCTAGGGACACTCAGACTCAGACCCGCGTTCTCTTGTAGTTATACCTGGTGGCTGATTCACGCCGCGCATTTTCGTAGTTATACTGTACTGCGGGGGGTTGCCTACTCGCACGGGGCCAAAAGGAGCCGTGGGCAGCGATCATAGGCAAACCCACCCGCACCCGCGCATGCGATACAGAGTATAACTACGAAAGTGTGCGGCGTGAATCAGCCACCTGGTCCAGTACAGCATCGAATGCAGGATGGGCTGTGGGGCTGGTTGCCTACTCGGCGCTGGCAAGTGGTCAGCTGCGAACCTGCTGCCTCGCCTGCTGCCCGCACCCGGCGCCGCGGATGTTGCCCAGCCTCTGTTTAGACAACAACTCCAATATAACCATGACACCACGGGCGCTCTGCTCGCGAGAGAGGCGAGCGTGGGAACCGCAGAAGTGGTTCGAACACTCGCCGTGTGTGGGCGATATGGCGGTAGGGGGCGCGTGGGCGGGTGTGCGGGCGGGCGCGCGTGGGGCGGTGTGGGGCGGCGCGGCGTGGGCGACCTGGATACAATCTGCACGCGGTGGGCGATCGTCCGGGAGGGAAGGGGGGAGGGGGAGCGGCGCGGGTGGCATACAAAGGACCACCTCCCGAACCTGCCCCCCTCTCCTTCCCCTCTCCCCCGTAACCTCGCCGTCGGCACATTGCTTCGCGGCGCCTCTGGCCCCTCCCCCTCTTTCTCCCTCACACCCTCTCGCCGTACCTGTCTCCTCTCTTTCTCTCGGCAATCCTGCCGTATTCACTTCAACCGCCAATGTTGATCCGTCGTTGGTGAGTCACCTGGCCGCCGCTGGCCGCCGCGGGTCTCAAACAAGGCGCCGCCGCCGGCTGCCCCCTCCTCCTCCCTCCTCTCTCCCCCACCTCCTCTCCCAGCCAGGATTATATTTGGGAGGTCCGCCTCTCCCCCTGTCTTACATTGCGAAAACATCAATCATCATCTGTCACAACCTCAACGCCTCGTCCTCGCGAAAACGATCTGCGATAGGCATGACTGCAAAAGTGGGATGCATACAGGGTGGGCTATGCCCCGTCCGTCACAGACAAACGCGCGCCACGAGGCTCAAGGGTGGTCGCTGTGCGGACGGGTTGCCTATTCGCACGGGACCATACCATAGGGCACAGCGACCACCCTTTAGCCTTGCGGCGCGCGTTTGTCTGTGACGGGAGGGATGGCGCACTCGAGGAGCTTGGGCGAGGCGAGCGCTCTGGCCGAAACCGAAAGCAGGCCTTAACACCTCCACGACGTTCGAAATGCCGCGTTTCATTTCTCATAATTGGCCCACCTGACAGCAGCGGTATGCGAAGGACCGGGGCGGGGCGGGGCGAGGCGGGGCCGACACCCGGAACTGGATTCCTATCCCGCCGAATCAAGGCGGTAAGTAAGTTGGTTGCACTGATGACCCTCCCCTCCTCTCCGCCGAGGAGCAGCCGTTGGCATTCCTCGCAGGTGAGTGTGAGCGATGGCCAGCGAGGGCCGGACCAACTCCTGTAGGACTCCCACACACTCCTCCCCGTGGACCACCGGGCCACATTCCACACTGCCTAACCACCACAACCGCCGCCGAGCAGCAGCAGAGCGCCCCGCAATTTCGTTCGCGCGCCGCTTTCAAATATTCGGCCTCACCCCGCCTTCCGCGCCCATTTCCTTCTGACCCGACACTAAGCATTCTAGTAATTATGGTTCACGCTCCGTTCCGCACAAGCTCCGCTCTTGTTCTTGCCGATTATTATCGACTCATCCGCCAGCCGGGGAAGCGGGAGCGCGGCACCTTAAGCACGCTGTGATGTACCCACATCCTCCCCGATTACGACCCAGAAATATTTTGAGAAAATAATCGACCTGGAGAAGCATGAATTTGGCTGAGTTACACTAAGTACGCATCCAATGGAGTGTTTAAAATACTGTTCAATCAGTGTGCCGCACTGTTAAAAAAGTGTGCTTAGACGGACAGAAACACTGGTAAAACAGAGGTGAGAAGTCGTGCATTTCCTAGTAGGGTGCTAAGGAAATGTTCAGTTTAGTGCCTCTACGAAGGCACTAAGCAGCCCTGAGGTGCTAAAAATGAGTGCATTTGTAAAGGCACGAAACCCTTAGTGCCTTTTAAAGGTAGGACTTAGCATTTTTGTTTTTCTAGTTCAAGCATGCTGATTCAGGGATCGTCCAGAAAAAAGTACGTTTTCCTCGGATTCATTCGGTAAATTACAGGAGCTCGGCGCCTGTGAGACGCAGGGTAGGCCACCTAGCAGTACACGCATGCACTGCAGACATGATGTTGCCCACCTATCAGGCAATATTTGAGCTTGGTAGAGCTGCACTTGGCAGGTTCGTGCCGGCCAACAAATAACGGATATTATTTCTGGATGATCTCTAAACAGTGTGGCTATAGGCATAGGCAAACATACAGATTAAACAGCGTTCTGCTTCACATGCAGTTCCAGATTTTCAGTGCCAAGAACCTTTGGAATAGAATACAGTGGGTGCTCGGTGCGTATATCGGGCGGGGCGCACGGAGAGAACGACGACCGCGCTGACACTCGTGGGAGCGGAGTGCGGTGCAGTCCGACAAACTGCCCCGGGCGCTGCACGTCCTGCACGGC